CAGGTCATCTGGACAGTTTCTTTTTTTGTGCTGACGGCCGGGGGCGATGGCGACGGAAGTGCGGGGCGATGGCCTCCGTCGCCCCCGGCCGTCAGCACAAAAAAAGAAACTGTCCAGATGACCTGACTGAAAAATGCTGGATTTTATACCTGGATTATAGAGCATGGACTTTGTTGCTCTCTACTAGATCTGTACAAAGAATAATCAGAGCTTTATCACATTCAAACACCGATGGGTCACACATCAGAGGCAATGAGGGGTTTAGTGTCTTGCCCAGGGACACTTCAGCATGTGACTGCTGGTGGAATTGAACCTCCAACTCTCCCATTGGAGCATGACTGCTCTAACCACTAAGCCACAGCTGCCCTACAAGTACAAATGGAACACCCACCCGAAGAGTAATTATTTCAACTTTTTTTATTTTTTTGTAAATAATATTATTTGCAAAAAATATACAATGTTAAAACAGTATTTCTGGAAAAAAAACATTTTTTTTCTTATTTGCACAAACCAGATTTGTAATTGTCTTTTGGCTTTGGGTCTAAATAATACTCGTTAACTTCAGATTTAGTTTCTTGTTTAGTCCCTATTTAATTTTTGTTATCTTGTATACATTTCACTGCGTAAAAAAAACCCAAACATTAATGGTAGCCTAATTTTATTTTAGAAAATAGTTTGTACGTCATAGGTCCAAACTCTGCCTACCCTCACTGTGGTAACCCGCTGACGAAGCTTCATTGTCAGGTTTAGCTCGCCGGTATCGGCTATAGCTCCGCCTCCTATCCCCGACCCCGCCTGTTTTCCTCTGAGGCTGGTACTGCTCACCGTCCGCCACATGACCTGATGACAACAGGTGGTTCATGGGATGATCAACACATCATGTAAACACAACAGAAGCATGAGAGGATGATATAAAGTGGAAGAGTGACTTCTGGGAAAGTTTACCCTGAGGTGAGGTCAGACCACGAAATGTTAAGAAAATTAGGAGAAAAGAAAGCGCTGGGGTTCTTGACAAATCTTCAAATAAGGTACCTAAGGTATCCAGACTGCAGAGGGAGGTGTGCAGGGTTCTGTCGGGTTTTTCCATGCAGATGACGGTTCCCTGGGAGTCAGACGAGTAGTGACTCGCCAGGGACTCGTGGTGGGAGTGGCAGGGCTGTCTGCTTGAGCAGCTCTCTGTGGACGAGTCGGTTCGAGTGTCGCTGGAAATGGATGGCTCTCGACCTGCAGAGGAGAGGGAGGGGGTGAGGTCAGTGTCGATGTGCTCATATAAACAACACCTTAAATCAGACACTGATAAACAACAAGAGCTACTTCTACTGCATGTCCATCAGTTAGCTGCTTCCTTCAGCCCTGTCAGAGAGAAACTGAAACAAAGCTGCAGGTTCTGCTTTAGTTACCTGAGTGTTTGCTGTTCTGATACTACTACGTCTCCTAGCTGTGTTGTAGTTACCCGAGTCTTCGCTGTCGTAGCAGGTCATGTTCAGGTGTTGGAGGTCGAGGCGAGACGGCAGGTCCTGCATGGACACTGGCGTCCCACGCGGGTCAGCATACAGCAGTAGCAGAGGTTGGTAGTGGCCCTTGATGCAGCGAGAAACCACGTCCTTCCACTTGGGGCCAATCTACAGGGAAAAAAGCACATCTGTAAATTATGAATCATAATAATTTATTTATAGAGTGTTACATAAAATCCAGGAATGCGTTGAATAAAGGAACAAAATAAAATAAAAAAATATGAAAAATAAATATAAAAATGTACATATACATTTCTGAACATGCAGCATTTCAAATGTTGAGGAAGAGCACTATAGACAAATAAATTAAAGAACATCCTAAATCTGCAATTTATTGCACATTTATTAATTATTCTGCAATTAAAATATTTTTGCTGTTTTTAATAGTTACTGTGTGTTAGCATGATTGAGTAACCTTTTAAATGGTTTCAAAATGTACATTAACAACTTCAATAACATTATTCTGTTCTAGCAGGTCAGTAGGCTACAATTACTGTCTTAATTAATTCACTTATATTTTATAAAGATGTCTAAAAACATCATCAGTGGTTCTTAAAAACTTAAATCAACACACTTTGTTTTGTTAGCATCAGCTGTACTTTAGCAGATTAAAACTTACATTTTGTGGCTGTAAGTTTTTGCATTAATAACCATCCATCATCTTTACCAGTTTTTATTTTATTTTTTGGATTGTGAGGGTCACTGGTGCCCATGTCCAGCAGTCACTGTGCGAGAGGGGCCCTAGACAGGTCTCCAGTCCATCACAGAGACACATAAAGACAAATGAGACAAACAACCATTCACTCTCTCACCTCGGGACAATTTAGAGTTACCAATCAGCTTAACATGCGTTTTTGGTCTGTGGGAGGAAACTGGAGTAAACCCATGCAGCACAGCGCAAACATGCAATCTCCATCCAGAAGTCCCCCCGTGGAGATTCAAGCAGCCTTCTCGCTGAGAGGCAGCAGCTCTACCAATTAATAACCAACTTAAATTAAAAGTTTATAAGTAAATAAAAACGATTAACTTGAAATTCTGACAGAACTTCAGCTAGGTCTTGGTTTTTGTCTGTACAAGATGAGAATGAGAAGCTCTCCGTTTGACCCCGAGTTGTGGAGTTCATAATCTCCCGTAGTTTTAATACATTTTAACAGACTAACCTTATAAAAACCATATATATGGCCTCAAAACTTCAGCTGAAATCATAAAAACTACCAGCATCCAGTAACATACAAGCCACAGAAACGACGACAGCTGAACTGTTCAGGGACGATCCACCCAGTTTCATCCCCCTGATGGAAAATCGTTGTTTTCCTGTCCTCCTTTAGTTCGTTTTCATTTTCTCTTCTGTCCAAACAAAAACCTTTGTATATTATTTTAAGCCTTCCTTCGTGTTCCAACGCTCCGCTTGGATCTGACAGGACGTCCCATCATGCAGCAGGGCGACTCGTCTGCCCGGCTGAAAAAGGTGGATGCTTGTTTAGCAAAAAGAAAGAGATGGGGGAAAAAGTCTGCAGAGTGTGCAGAAAAGTGTGTGTGTGTGTGCAGTGTGTGTGTGCACGTGAGAGAAAGAGCGCACACTCAGGCCACACCCTCATTTCTGTCCAGCTGCACTGATAAACAATGAAGGGATATCCTTGTTTTCACAAGCAGCAGACAGAGAAAGAATGACACCTCTCTTTCCAGCTATCACAGAAGCAGCAGCGAGGACAGGAGGAGGAAGAGGAGTGACGATGGACGACAACATCAGGTCCTGAAAATTCCTGAAGGGTTGTGCTCCATCTTTTCTTCTTCCTGGGATGTTAATTGGAGGTGAAGCAGCTTGTGCAGTAACATGGTTTGTGTTCTTATCGTTACTGTTGTGGGTGGTTTTATTGATATAAGCAGTAGGTGGCACCAGATGTCCAGTAGCAAGTGGAACATCCACATCATTTGTTATTTTTCCAGAACATTCAGGCACATCACTTTAACCTGGAATGACCCAGTAACACATGCATGTCATTTTGAGCAAGAGTCTGAGGCTGTAGTCAAATTAACAAATGCAGAGCAGTGTCTTTATTTAGCTTCTGATGAGCTGAGTCACTGTATTATGGCCCCCTGCATGATAGATAAAGACCCTGCAACACCATTAAATAATCAGTCAATACATGAATGGTCCTCAATAGTTTTGATGCACTAAACTGTTGCAGTGAACACGGGTATGGTTTGGTCAGGGAGAATGTGATGCAGAACTGGGCTCGTACCTCCAGTACGTCTTCATCACACCCACATCTCTCTGCAAGTTATTGCACAGCTCTGACTGCTCAGCCAATCTAGGCTCTGCAATGATTACAGTCAACGTTCAGCCGTCCTTCATTCACCCTTTGAATTCAAAGCATGCGTTTCCATCAAGACCAGGCCTGATGGAAGAAGAGGGGTGGATGTGGATGAAGTTCTGCATAGAAGACTCCTCCACCACCATGATCAGACCAGAGGCCTCATGTATCAACAGTGTCTATGCACAAAAAGTTGCATGCACCAGGCTCCATGTGCATGTCGGGATGTATCAAAATGGACGTTGCATGAAAGTGTGCATAAATATAAGCACATTTTTGACCTGCTGTGAGAATGTGTTTACCGCCACACAAACTTTTTTCAGTCCACAGTATCAGATAACAAAGTACTGAAACTCATATAAATACACTGAAATATGACTGTTCGGTTTTCTGAACTTAAAGAATATTCAAACATGTTTTTTTTCATGAGTTTGTGCATTTATGACTTAAATCCAAACAAGGAAACTGAGACAGATCAGGTATTTCAGTTGTCCCTGAGCTGTGCCAGCTGTATGGGATGGCTTCATCCATAAGATGCCCTGATATATAAAGTTTCCCCACACCGCAGTGGAAATACTTTGTTGATTCTCTGTGACTCATTTTGTCACAACTGATATCCCGAGCTGATAAGTTCTACCAAACTCCTGAGTGCCTCTGAGTTAAGAGTGATTATTTATTAAACAGGTGTGTAAATTTGGAAATGTCTTAGAAAGGCTCCACCAGCAGATCTGTGCTTTCCCCCACCCCTGGTTTACTTCATTTAATGGTAAATGGACTGCACCTTTCTATCTGATCAATATACTCAAAGCTCTTTACACAATCTGTGCCCTCATTGACCCATTCATACAGCACTCTGCTAGATCTATACAAAGACTAATCAGTCGGTGCTTTATCACATTCATACACTGATGAGACACACATCGGAGGCAATGAGGGGTTCATTGTCTTGCACAGGGACACTTCAACATGTGACTGCTGGTGGAATCGAACCCTCAACTTTCCCATTGGAGGACAACTGCTCTAACCACTCAGCCACAGCCACCCCAAATATAAATAGTAAAACACAAACTTTTTTACATATGAGGCAAACATACATTGCCTGGCCAAAACAATGTCGCCACCTGGATTTTATTCAGCAAATAGGTACGAGCGTCCTATGGGATAATTACTGCATGGACGATTATCTTTCAGTTGGCAACAAGTTATTTAACCCCAATGCAATGAGTTGCTTATCATTTCTTAAACAACCATATCGAAAGACATCGCGTAGTCGTGGAAAAGATGTCAGTCTGTTTGAGAAGGGTCAAATCATTGGCATCAAGCAGAGAAAACATCTAAGGAGATTGTAGAAACTATTAAAATTGGGTTAAGAATTGTCCAACGCATTATTAAAAACTGAAAGGATAGTGGAGACCCATCGTCTTCGAGGAAGAAATGTGTCCGGAAAAAAATCCTGAATGATCGTGATCGGCGACTTAAATGTTTGGTGAAATCAAATCGAAGAAAAACAACAGTAGCACTCAGAGCTATGTTTAATAGTGAAAGTAAGAGCATTTCCACAAGCACAATGTGACGGGAACTCAAGGGACTGGGACTGAACAGCTGTGTAGCCTTAAGAAAACCACTAATCAGTGAGGCTAACTGAAAAAAAAGGCTTCAGTTTGCTAGGGAGCATAAAGATTGGACTCTGGAGCAATGGAAGAAGGTCATGTGGTCTGATGAGTCCAGATTTACCCTGTTCCAGAGTGATGGGTGCATCAGGGTAAGAAGAGAGGCAGGTGAAGTGATGCACCCATTATGCCCAGTGCTACTGTACAAGCCTGTGGGGGCAGTGCTATGATCTAGGGTTGCTGCTGTTGGTCAGGTCTAGGTTCAGCAACAGTATGTGCTCAAAGAATGAGGTCAGTTGACTACCTGAATATACTGAAGGACCAAATTATTCCATCAATGGATTTTTTCTTCCCTGATGGCACGGGCATATTCCAAGATGACAATGTCAGGATTCATCGAGCTCGAATTGTGAAAGGGCGGCTCTGGGAGCATGAGACATCATTTTCACACATGGATTGGCCACCACAGAGTCCAGACCTTAACCCCATTGAGAATCTTTGGGATGTGTTGGAGAAGGCTTTGCACAGTGATCAGAATCTGCCATTATCAATGCAAGATCTTGGTGAAAGATTAATGCAACATTGGATGCAAATAGATCTTGTGGCATTGCAGAAGCTTATTGAAACAATGCCACAGCGAATCTACAGGCGGTCCAACGAAATATTAGTGTGACCTTTTTTGTTGGTGGTGACTTTTTGGGCCAGGCAGTGTATTTTTATACCACACTACTTATTTTGGTGTGTCTAACATTCACATTCAATGAAATCCTTCATTTTGCTGCATCTAGACATAAACAGAGCCCTATAAAGAGAGAGTTGCGACACTCCCATAGACTCCCATAGAAAGAATGGAATGCGGAAGTCACGTGGGTCATGCAGCGGCAAAGAGTTCCAAACAGCAGCGGGTTCAGCATTGAACGTAGTTCATTTTCCGTGTTTTTCCGGTAAGTTAATGCAAATACGACACTTTTTCTCCATTGTGAAGCGTTATCTGACTGTTCTGTACCACAATTTATCAACATTAATACTTCATGTCTCCAGTTTTAGTTAATGGAACATGTTAAATTGCTAGTTGTGTTTTAACTGCAGCTGCTCTGCAACATGACGGTTTAAACGGGTCTATTTCTAATTCAACGTTTTAAAATATCTATTACTGCTTAAATTTTGAAAGGTGGTCTTTTTT